GTACCTTCTCTCAAAATGGAAAGTAATACATCAGAGAAAACCGTTCTTGTGATGCCTACACCAACAAGAGAGGAAGAAAATAATGATGATCATGAAACTTCAGATCAAGTTACTACTGGACCTCGTAGGTCAACCAGAACACATCCGCACCAGAATGGTACGATAATCCTGTCTTGGAAGTCATGCTATTGGACAACGGCAAACCTACGAACTATGAAGAAGCTATGACAAGCCTAGATTCCGATAAATGGCTTGAGGGCCATGAAATCTGAGATATGATCCATGTATGAGAACAAAGTATGGACTTTGGTGGACTTGCCCGATGATCAGTAAGCCATTGAGAATAAATGCATCTTTAAGAGGAAGACGGGCACTGACGGTAATATCACTGTATACAAATCTCGACTTGTTGTAAAAGGTTTTTTAAAAGTTCAAGGGATTTACTACGATGAGACTGTCTCACCTGTAGCGATGCTTAAGTCTATCCGAATCATGTTAGCAATTGCCGCATTTTATGATTATGAAATCTGGCAAATGGACATCAAAACTGCATTCCTTAACATGTTTCTTAAGGAAGAGTTGTATATGATGCAACCGGAAGGTTTTGTCGATCCTAAAGGTGCTAACATAGTGTGCAAGCTCCAACGATCCATCTATGGACTGGTGCAAGCACGGAGTTGGAATAAATGCTTTGATGAGGTGATCAAAGCATTTGGTTTGTGAAGCCTGTATTTACAAGAAAGTGGGTGGGAGCTCTGTAGCATTTCTAATATTATATGTGGATGACATTATTGCTGCTTGGAAATGATATATAATTTCTGGATAGCATAAAAGGATACTTGAATAAGAATTTTTCAATGAAAGACCTCGGTGAAGCTACCTACATATTGGGCATCAAGATCTATAGAGATAGATCAAGACACTTGATAGGACTTTCAATGAGTACATACCTTGACAAGATTTTAAAGGAGTTCAGAATGGATCGGTCAAAGAAGGAGTTCTTGCATTTATTGTAAGGTGTGAAGTTGAGTAAGACTCAAAACCCGACCATGACAGAAGAAAGAGAAAGGATGAAAGTCATTCCCTATGCCTCATCCATAGTCTCCATAAAGTATTGCATGCTGTGTACCAGACCTGTTGTGTGCCTTGCCATGAGTATGGCAAGGGGGTACAATATTGATCCAGGAGTAGATCACTGGGCAGTGGTCAAAATTATCCTTAGGTACCTAAAGAGGACTAAGGAAATGTTTCTTAGTTATGGAGGTGATAAAGAGTTCATCGCAAAAGGGTTACATCGATGCAAGCTTTGACACCGATCCGGACGATCTGAGTCTCAATCTGGATACGTATCGAACGTGGGAGCAATAAGCTAGAGTAGCTCCATGGAGAGCGTTGTAGACATAGAAATTTGCAAAGTACGCACAGATCTGAATATTGCAGACTCGTTGACTAAAACCTCTCTCACAAGCAAAACATGATCACACCTTAGAACTCATTGGGTGTTAATCACATGGCGATGTGAACTAGATTATTGACTCTAGTGCAAGTGGGAGACTGTTGGAAATATGCCCTAGAGGCAATAATAAAATAGTTATTATTATATTTCCTTAATCATGATAAAGGTTTATTATTCATGCTAGAATTATATTGACCGGAAACATAAATACATGTATGGATACATAAACAAATACTGTGTCCCTAGTGAGTCTCTACTAGACTAGCTCATTGATCAAAAGATGGTTAATGTTTCCTGATCATAGACATGAGTTGTCATTTGACAACGGGATCACATCATTAGGAAAATGATGTGAGGGACAAGACACATATGTTAGCTTAGCATATGATCGTTCGGTTTATTGCTACCGCTTTCTTAATATCAAATACATATTCCTTCGACCATGATATCATGCAACTCCCGGATACCGGAGGAATACCTTGTGTGCTATCAAACGTCACAATGTAACTGGGTGATCATAAAGATGCTCTAGCAGGTATCTCCGAAGGTGTCTGTTGAGTTGGCGTGTTGGGATTTGTCACTCCGTATGACGGAGAGGTATCTCTGGGCCCTCTCGATAATACAACATCATAAGAAGCTTGCAAGCAAAGTGACTAAAGAGTTAGTTGGAAGATGGTATATTACGAAACGAGTAAAGGGACTTGCTAGTAACGAGATTGAACTAGGTATGGAGATACCGACGATCGAATCTCGGGCAAGTAACATACCGACAAACAAAAAGAACTACGTATGTCGTATAAAGGTTTGACCGATAAAGATCTTCGTAGGATATGTAGGAACCAATATGGGCATCCAGGTCCCGCTATTGGCTATTGACTGGAGAAGCTCCTCAGTCATGTCTACATGATTCTCGAACCCGTAGGGTCCGCACGCTTAACGTTCGTTGACGATATAATATTATATGAGTTATGTATGTTGGTGACCAAATGTTGTTCGGAGTCCCGGATGAGATCACAGACATGACGAGGAGCTCCGAAATTGTCCGGAGGTAAAGATTGATATATGGGATAATAGTGTTTGGTATCCCAAAGGGTTCCAGAATTCACCGAAAGGGGTTTTGGATGTTTCCCGAAATGTTCTAATGCGAGAACACTTTATTTGGGCCAAGGGGTAAAGCCCACGGGATTTTAGGAAGGTGCAAAAAGAACTTTTGCGGAGGCCAGGGGCTAGACGCCAGGGACCCTGGCGTCTGGGGCTAGACGCCAAGAATCCTAGCATTTAGGTCCTAGAGTCCGAGAAGGACTCTTGCCTTGCGGGCCAAAACTGACTTTGAGGAGGCTCTTTCTCCAAGAAACGACCCGAGAGCTCAACATATAAATAGAGGGGCAGGGCTAGCATCCGGAACACATCAAGATTCACCAAGCTGTGTGCCGGCAACCCCGTCCCCTCTAGTTTATCCTCCGTCATAGTTTCCTTGTGCTTGGCGAAGCCCTGCAGAGATTGTTGTTCACCACCACCATCACCACGCCGAAACTCATCTACTACTTCGCGCCTCTTGCTGGTCGAGAAGGCGAGGACGTCATCGAGCTGAACGTGTGATGAACGCAGAGGTGACGTACGTTCGGTACTTGATCGGGACGGATCGTGAAGGTGTACGACTACATCAACCACGTTGATAAACGCTTCCGCTTAGCGATCTACAAGGATATGTAGATGCTCCCTCTCGTAGCTATGCATCTCCATGGATAGATCTTGCGTGTGCGTAGAATAATTTTTGTTTTCCATGCAACGTTCCCCAACACTACCCTCCTAGGCGCTCCCTGTTGCCTTGCCGTCTCCTTGCTTGGCGTCTGGTCTCCTCCCGAAGCTTCTATAGGGTCTCTCTTATCCAGAAAAAAAATCATCAAAACATTTCGTAGCGTTTGGACTCCGCTTGGTACTGATTTCTTGGAAACCAAAAACAAGCAGAAAACAACAAATCACACTTGGCACTGGGCTAATAGATTAGTCCCCAAAAATGATATAAAACACCACAAAAATTTATATAAAACATGTAATAATAGCATGGAACAATAAAAAAATTATAGATACGTTGGAGACGTATCAGTGAGCACTACTCGTGGTTCATGCCTTGACATGCTTGTATTGTGCTTACAACCATAACACCATGTTTCCATGCCATCACATGAGTCCATTGGTGCAATAGATGATACTCAGGTGACTGCTAGAGTGCTGAGGTCACATGCTGCAGCATACAAGGGTAGAAAGCACTGCACAAGTCAGAATGTGCTTGATATTGTTGCCTTTGATATGAAGTTTTCGTATGTGCTAGCTGGCTGGGAAGGATCAGACCATGATGCTAACATTCTTGTTGACAGCATGGCTTGACCTAATGAGATCAATATCTCTGATGGCAAGTTCTACCTAGGAGATGATGACTAGGCATGTTGGCATGATGTTCTCCCACCCTTTAGGAAACAGGTACCATCTGAACGAGTTCTCTTTTGTGAATTATTCTAGGACTACACATGAATTCTTCAATCTTAGATACTCTAGTATTAGAGTTACGGTTGAGACGGCATATGGAGCTCTAAAGACAAATTTATGATCTTGGATCAGAAGCCATTTCACCATTTCACCACCTCGGTTAGGCTTGCTCTTGCATGCTGCATCCTCCATAGCTGGATCCTAAAATAGGGTTGTAGTGAACTTATGTCGGGGAGGAAGATATGATGGCTGATGATGTTAGTACCTTCGGCCATGGTGTGGACGATTTGACAATGAAACTTGAAAGAGCAAAAAGTTGGAATGGCTGAGGCAATGTGTAAAGACAAAAAATATACAAGGATCCGAAAAAGAAGAATAACAACAAAGGAAGAAGCAGCAACAGAGAAGCAACATAATAAAATAGAGAATGACTTTCCCTACTTTGACAACCGAGGAACTATTCAAGCCATATAAGTGTTAATTTGTACTGCAATTTGTTAGTAGTTAGAATGCGTTGTGATATGTTTACTAGTTAGGACTGAAACAATGCTTATTTGAAACTTTATATGTAGTGTCATATTACATATAATAAGGTCACCAGTAACATAATACAGACAGTGCACAATCAAACACCACATAGCGTATTTATAAAGATAGTCTCTCAGCGGTGCTTTTTTTCCGCATGGTAATACGTGTCTCATTTGTATCGTAAGGAACAAAGTACAAGTCAAGTAAGGATCGACATGACAAAACTGAAAAGATAGCAAAACATTTCTGAGCTTGACACCAAGGCCCGTTACTTGTCTCCGGCACCACCACAGTAACCACCGAAGAAAAGAACGACGGATCACCTCCTCACTTGAGCTTGACGCGGCTCCATCATTGATATGCAGCTTTGCGGACCTCTCTCGGAGGTGCTAGAGAGCGTGCATGTGTTTATAAAGATGACGTATGCACTTGTGTGTGTATTAAATAAAACCAACACAAGCTTTATCCGCCTGCGAAGTTCCTCTCCGCAGGAGCCCCACACGCTCTGGCAGTCACACTCGGAAACCCCATGGCGTGCCACCTCGTCGCCGCCTGCGTCCCGCGCCTCGCCGTCGTGGCATCCTCCGCCTCCGGGGATCCCGTCCGCCGTATCCGGCGGCGCGCGCCGGGGTCGCGTTCCCAGAAGGCCCCCACGGCGGCTCCGCCCCAGCCGTCCGTCGCGGAGGTGCGGCGCGCCATCGGGGCCGCCGACGACCCGTCCGCCTCCGGGAGGGACAAGCAGTCCGGTTTCATGGAGCTCCTCGCCTCCACGCCGATCGGGCAGCCGGAGAGCGACGCAGAGCGCCGAATCCGTGAGGCCGCCGAGTGGGTGGTCGACAACACCGAGGCGCGCGCACAGGAAGGTGATGCGCCAGGCTGATTCCCCTTCGGTTCATCGTCCTAATCAACAATTACATTCAGTAGCTATTGTGCGCTACATTTACGTTGCAATTTGCAACCACGATTTTTACCCTTTTTGTTTTGAAAAGGTGAAGTTTACTTTCTGATTCTGAATGATGGACTGCCTAAGGATTTCTGCATTACTAGGAAGAACTGATAGATTATGTACTGAATGATAAAGCGTGTAATCATTTTGGACAAGATTTGCGTCATCCCTCATAAGCAATCCTACCTATTTGCATCGTTCTGAACTTCTAATTTATGATGTGAACTTTGGGCTGAAGTTCTCCACCGCTCTTCTCCTCAGGGCAAAAGTCTATCTTGGTGCTATGCATGAAGATCTTTCCTCTGTGGCTGTTCCTCATGCTTACTGCCCTTGGAGTTATAAATTTACCATTTGATATTCCCGGTCTGGATATGGATGATCTCCTAATGTAAAGTGTTAGATTGTTTCTTCTCCCAGCTATATGAGCCGCGGATACTTGAAAAGAAAAACCAGTGATAGATATTGTTCACAGAACTATTGAAGTTGCTTGTTTCGTAAGGTATGAATAAACTGTATGACCTTTTCTATTCTTTGCCTTATTGCAATTGGAAACTTGGAGTAACATGTGGACACAGTGTATTTCTTTTCACTTGAAATGAGTTAAATTGATTTTCATAGTTGTGCTATTTATGAGATTAGCAGAACAATAGACTTCTACGTTACATCCTGTGTGCTAGAACTGGGAAGTAGGTACATAAGGCACAGATGTGATCTCTGCACTTACTTATTTGGCTGACAGATGTTTACGCATTTTACATTTTGTGGACAGATGTGTACGCATTCCAGATTTTGTGAACAACTTACATAGTTGATTGATTACTTCTGGAATAATTTTCCGTGAATATTGTAGCTCTTTCTATTCAGGATAAACTTTTGGGTTGCCCAAAGTAGCTCTCAAGGTTTCAGTGTTGTGATTTCTGCATAATATAAGCACATTAGCATTGAGTGATGGTAATTGCCAAGTGCTTTTTCCTAATAACCTATATGATGCATTCGTAATTGTGAGTGAACTTCGGCTTTGTTGCTGCTCTAATAAATACCTCATCACTAGGCAAAACCATAACACCTGGCACGTTGTTCTATCTCTTAGTCCCTGCACTGACGTAAATAATGTCTGTTGTATGCCTTTAGATCTTCCATACAAAAGCACCAGCTGAGTAAGAAAAACAAGTAAAAAGAATGAACTGTTGAAGGGGAAGTCAACTCATAAAATATCCCCAAGAGCAGTGCACATAAGTAAATCCTGCGTTGTTCCGTTCCTTGCCAAGGGGAGCTATATTCTGTTGTTCAAATGGCTCATGATCAAGGAACTCTACTGGGTAAGGTCGACAAACCAGAGAGCATTAATGAACGCGCTACACCGTTAGCACCGTCATTCACATAGCTTTTGATGGTTAGGCAGCTAGCCCTACCATGTATCTCTGATAGGCTAGGAAGCTACTTCTATCAGTATGTTCAAAATTGAACAACGCTGGATATCCATAAGAAATTTTTGTTGCTTTACTCTTGTATGTTGCTGATGTACATGCTGTTCATTAATGAAGATAGAGAGATCATTTTTCACATACTTCACATCAGGTGGCAATTTCTTACTTTGTATGATATGTTTGATATAGCTTCCGTTGTAAGATTTCGTTTTTGTTGTTGTTTTCTGTTCCTGGAACAAGGTTTAGCAACAACGGAACTTTAAATTATGACTGGTCGTATCTTCTAATTAAAAACGACAATATTGAAACTTTAAACTGTGACTTGTTGGGTATCTTCTAACTGAAAACAACCGGAAGACCTGATACAGTAATTTATTTGCTATTTCTGAGCTGTGAAATGGATGCCGCAGGGAGATGAAAAAAAGGGACTATAATGAAGCAAACCTGGCAGTTTGCTCTGACTGCACATGTAGGGATCCTTTCTTTTATAACATACATGATACAGTTATCCTTTAATTAGATGAAAAACCTAGACCTCCCTTACCACTGATGTATGTACAACATAAAAAATCCAATACAAAGTGTTAAGTTAAATAGACAGAAAGAAAGCAATATTGCAATGTTTCATCAGTGGTAGAGTGGAGAAGAGGTTGACTTCACAATTTGCAAGTGCGCAACTGCACCTTGATGTCCCAGTTAGCTCTTAGTCTCTTTTTCTTAACACCTCCCGGACAAGATGGCTCTCCTGCAGGTTTATATCAGCCTAAAAAAACTCTAAATTTTGGCTGAAATGGTGCAAGACTGAAGACGAATGCTGGCTGGCGAACCTTAGTTAGTCATGCCAACAAAGGAGCCTGTCCAGACAACCAGATGATACATCCGAGCTTGACAATCTTCCGCTGCTCTAACGAACCTTCCCTTTATTATCTTTCCAGACAACAGCAGATGATGACTTAGAGTCAGTCATGCCAACAGAGGAGCCTCTCTGCTCCCATGCCTACAAGGCTAAGTACAAATTATTTTGGTTGTTAGAGTTTAAAGCAGATCATATGCCATAAAGGTTTGCTGATTGAGTCTGTGGAATTGGTTAGCATGTGAAGATCTGGAGTGCCTTTATAGAGACCGAAGAATGAGTTCACTCACATGCAAGTACGCAGCCAAGTTGAATAAGTTGAGTATATAATTTAGGAGACAGGCTTGTATTCTTTATATATGTTCTTCTCTCTCCTGGAGTGCAATCATTTTGAGAGATGGAAACTGGCAATGGATTCCGAAACTTATAACATGGCTGAAGCAGCCGTGAGTTGAGCAATGCACCAGACCATGTGAACATCCATGATCTCACCAGCTTTTTGTTCAGGCATTTTGGATTGGGGCTAGAGCTAGACTTGTTTAAGCTCCTGCTTTTCATAAAAAGCCTTATAATATCATGCAAGTTGTACTGTGCAGAATTATTTGGTAATTCAATTAGAGTTGCCACACAACACAAGAATTCATTTATATCAGACAAGGATGTTCTTGGATAGATAAATATAAGTGTTTGTATGTTGAGTACTTTTAAGATCTCTTGTCTTCAATCTGTCTGACGGGTTGGTAGGATCTTATGCATCTTTGGTTAGTTTTGAGCAACTTTAATTATTTTGTTCTTCTGTTGGTTATTTTGTAGAAGAGCAAATGAGTTAAAAGCCAGTTCTCTTTAAATATTGAAGAATCTGATCTTGTTTCCTTAGAACTTGCAGAGGAAGCATATAGTTCCCGACTTATCTATCCTCTGAGCAATTTTGATAAGCTGCACACTTGAGAATATGCCAATTTATCCAGAATTGCTGACTGTGATATGTTCTCTTCATTTATGCACTCACTGGTCTTGTTCCACTTCAATTGGTTAGTGTTCTAGTGGTGCAACTTTCCTACTAATCCTTGTAGCCACAACTTTGCCGAGCTTTGACATTAAAGAATTTCAATAGCTAACTTCAGTTGCCTTGCTGGTTCTCGTTCTTTTTTGACTCTCATGCAGGCAACCCATGCAACTATGTAAAGTTGTTGCCTAACTGATTGACAAACCGGTTCACCGAAACAATAGTAGGGCAAGAATGGAGAGCTATATGAAGAAGGGTTGATGAACTCTATGATCTTTTCACGACTGTAGTACGACCTGTCTGGTCTTGTCTAGCACTATTTCTGTACCGCAACAACTTATAATTTCCCGACCATACACATGGTTGTCTATTACCTTGAGAGACCATCATTTGAAATCTTCCTCTCTTTCACTAAATAAAATAAAATGACATAAATTTGAAGCTTTCCTCTGATGGGACTTGTATTCTCATTCATAGCTTGGGCACTGGATTCTTAATGGTGGATGCTGAGGAGAGAAATGTTGACATCATCTGCTAATGGCTATACTGAAGGCACAACTACACACCAAAAGTGAATTCTTCATATTGTGCGAGTTCACGTCGTCCGTTCGTGACTAGTTACAGTTGCCGGGATTTGTTTGTACACTTCCTCATGCTTTATACGCCCCGAATAGGAGAAATATTGGTACAATGGAGGTTTATGAAGAGATGGTTCAATACCTGCATACCTCCATTAATATATGTGTTACTCGGTAAAAAATGTATTTTATCTGCATCTTTGTGTTGTTCTTTTGAATGCCCATATTTTTTTTTGAAAGGAACAAATTACCTTACCCCAAAACATATGCTGTATCATTTGAAAAGTATTCTGTCTACCTCAAATTGTGAAAAAGGCACTGTCCGGTTTGTTGCAAAAGAATAGTTATTCGAAATTTAGGATAAATGGAGAATAATCTATATCTGATCACATCCAGAAAATTAGCTATAGTGGTAATAATTTTATTTTCATTATCAAGTATCCAGTTTATTTAGGTGCACATTATCTAATATTTTAATGCATATGTTGATTATACTCTTGTATGGAAATGGAGGGCTAAGCTGGGCAAAAGACATATTGACGAGTGCGTGTTCATTTTGGCTCACTTTTATCTGTTTATTCCCTCTTCGACACCTTTTACTGAAAGTGATGATCTTTAAATAATGTTTCTGGTTGCTCACATGTGCATTTTGTTTTGCTCCCTATGGTGTTTTTAGGACTGTAAGTCTTTAAGTTCATCATTGTTAGTGAAAAAACAACAAAATGATTACTGCCTCAGTTGCCCAGCCTAGCTCATTATTTATTACTGCTAATATTGTTATTAGCTAAGTGGTTGTCCCCTAATAAGGCCTATGTTCATTGCATTTGCAGATTTTGTTGTGATATGTTCATGGTTCCCAACATAAGCATTGAGCTGTTGAGATATATGTTTTGAGTGTGGAATTTGTTTTTGTTGAGTTCATGAATTCTACTCCCTTCGTCCCACAATATAAGAGCGTCTTTGACCTCCGTCCCACAATATAAGAGCGTTTTTGATTGTGGGACGGAGGGAGTACATGTTATGCTAGGATTGGCTTTGTTGAGGTGTTGAAGCACTAAAAGTACTTGTTCCAAGGCAAGTAGTACTTTACTTTTCCCTAACTAGTTGCAGTTGACTTAGTTTAAGATTATTCTGCAGATTGTAAGCCTAGAATATAAAGTTATGCAGCAAATAATGGAGGCACGTAATTTGTTCATTCTCCACTAAGCACTTTAAATCTCTTGTTATATTGAGAAAATTGCAGACTACAAAAAGGCACCTTTTAAATTATTAAAAAGGAAGGCCAAGATCATACTGAGATCATCCTTCAGTTAGGAAGTTTCTTTGTGATACCCTCATCTTCGATCCTCAGTTTTGTTCTAATATTACGGCCTCAGTAGCATAACACAGGTTCAAGTTCAATGCATATGGAGATTTTCTTCTGATTTGATTCCATCGTACATGATTAATGTTCAGCCCTGTAATAACTACTGCTTTCCCTTGCAACCTTTTTGTACTTAACGATGTCTTGTAGTGATTGCATGGATGA